CTACCCATGCTTTGTTTGGCCATACCCTTCTGTAACCTTTATAGCCAGGTAATTTCATTAGCTACCCAATGGCTTGGTCTAAGTCAGGGGTGGGCAATAATTTTTGAAGTGGTCACAGGCCACCCCAGAAGGGGCAGGACCTCAGACAGAAGGGGCAGAGCTTTAAATAGCAGGAGTTGAAAGGGTTTGCACCTCCCATTTAGCTCCCAGGCAGTTAGTGAGGGACAAGAGCGGCCAGCCCTTTTAATTCCTGCTATTTAAAGGGCTCACTGCTCCCAGCCTCACTGCTTGTGCATTGCCTGGAAGCAGGGAACACTAGAGCCCTTTCAACTGCTGCTACAGGCAGTCCCCGGGTTACATGGATCCGACTTACATCGGCTCCCTACTTACAAACAGGGTGAGGCAACCCCGCACTAGCTGCTTCCCCCCAGCAGACCAGGGAGACGCGAAGCTAGCCAAAGCAAGTGCATACAGCTATTTGCGAGATCTTCTAAACACAGAGAAAACTATTGTTTTTTTACACTTTAGGAAAATTCCTCAGATGTTTTCTGTATTCTCAGAATGGCTTGGTGTAAAACCTCAAGATAGGTACATACATATGTGAGACAACAAAACATGCATACAGAGATATTTCTCAGCAGACACCTCAGCTTGAGAATAAAGGACTGAGGGAAGTGAGGTGTGGGAGAATAAAACTGAGCTCTGGAGAAATGTTTGGCTCGAGTTTCCCCTACAATATGTACCAGTTCCGACTTACATACAAATTCAACTTAAGAACAAACCTACAGTCCCTATCTTGTACGTAACCCGGGGACTGCCTGTATTTAAAGGGCTTGCACCTTCCTTGGGGCTGTTACCCGTCAGCCACAAGTACTTTAAATGGAAGCAGTTGAAAGGGCTTGCGAGTCCCTGGCTCCCAGGCAACGTGCTAGAGGGTGGGGCCTGGAACTGCCGTGTGGGCCGGAACAAAGCCCTAGGCAGGCTGGATCTGGCCCGCTGACAGGCTTTTGCCCACCCCTGGTCTAAGCAAATCAGACACTCCCTTGACAATAAAATTCTGACTCCACAATCTTGTTGTTTTATTATCTATACAGGGAATACGGTCCAATGCAGAGGAGGCTGGAGCAACAGGGGAGTGAGGTGTCTCAGTTGGGGGACCACATCAGTGAAGGGTTTTGCTTCTTGCTTGTGTGGTCCCCAACTGATTTTTCTGTGGGTCAGTGGCCCCAACCCAAAAAAGGTTCCCCACCCCGCCATAAAGACAATGTTGAAGCCTTTTGTGTTGAACATAAATTAATATTTTACAGTATTTAAAATGAAGTTTGGTAAACTAACATGAGAAATTAAAGCACATAATCTGCTTAATATTTCCTTTCTTACTGGTTAAATTAAACCATTCTCCCTAGCTGCAGCACTAGCAAAATGGCTCTGGCGTAATTATATAATTAACGGCAAATTTCCATCAGCAGCTGGTAGTCTGCAGAAAGGTTTGCATTGAGCTGGATGGGCCACAGGCCAAAAAGTTTGAACCATTGCTCTACTACAATACAAGGTGTTGGAGCAGCTTTTTCATTTCTTCCTTAAGTCTTTGCCATCAATGTCCCAGAGGGGCTAAAAGCAAATATGTCCTCCAGTTGCATGCAAAGCTGGAAATTTTTATTGCTTGTACATGGAAGGTTCTGGGGCAGGCTGGTAATCAGTGTTCCCTCTAAGATGAGTGACAGCACAGCTTCACAGGTGATTAATCAGTCCTGCCCAGTCAGAGGCTCCGTACATGGAGCTGACTGTCTGGGTGGGGCTGATTAATCACCTGTGAAGCTGTGCTGCCCTGCAGTTTAGAAGGAACACTGCTGGTATCTACTCTGCTAATCTTCAATATGGGGAGTAACAAGCCCCCACATTTTTCCAATCTGTCCTCAGTGCTCTGAGAAGCTGTTACTGCAGCAGTATTATATGCATCAGGAAGTCCAAAAACCTTCATGTAGAAAGCATCCGCTACAATTCTCAAAAGTTCTTAGTTTTAAATAATTGTGAGTGGATGGAGAAGCAAAAGGTTTACACTTTGCATCAGACTTCTACAGCTATTTCTGTCCTCAAAAAAGTCAGTCTCATTTCCTGGTATTCCCCTTTAATAGCTGGGCATTGTGATTTTCAGATCTAGCTGGCATTAGCCTCCACAGCCCTGTGAACCAAGGCTCATTAACTCAGAGCTGAAGTGCTACTGTGGATTCTGAAAACAGGAAGGTGCTCTGCTGACTCAGCACAAATTCAGCCTCACCAGTGGCTCATATGCACAGCTAATAAGAACTTCAACAGTGCCTTACTGCCTCTCCCCCTCACCACTTCCTCTCTAAAGCTGGCCACAGCATTTAAACAGGAAGGGATGTCATGCACAGGAACACTAATGAGAGGTAACAAGTCTGTAATGCTTTTATGAAACAAGTCTGCATTTCTTCCCGGATACTGTTGAAAAGGAAAGGAGTGGAGTACAGTTCACCAATTTCTAAACATCTAAAGCTCTCCCAAAGGCAGCCAAACCCATTTGCTTTTTATTTTTAGGGTAGTTAGCTTTTAGCAGGGGGTTGGACTCGACCTCCTGAGATTTCTTCCAACCCTAATCTTCTAAGATTACATAGTTACCTGATATGTTTTATGAAAAATTATCTGGCTCAGTTAATTGACAGAAGCCAAAAGAGAACTCAGCTGTGAATGATTAACCAAATGAAGGAGAAGGGGAGATATGACTGCCCTCTATAAATACATCACAGGGATAAATAGCAGGGAGGAAGGAAAGTTGTTTAAGTGCCCATGTTGATGCAAGAAGAAAGAACTATGAACTGGCCATCAACAAGCTTAGTCTTAAAATGAGATTTTGATGGCTGGAAACCTTAGAGTGAAGTTTTGAAAATGTGGAAGAAAAAAAAAAGTCTAACTGGCTTCAAGACTAAGCTTGGTAAGTTTTGTGGAGAGGATGGTATGAGACTGTCTATAATAGCAGGTGGCTTATCTGTGACCGCTAGTAACAAATATCCTGAACTGCCAGAGATGGGACACTAGATGGGGAGGGTGCTGAATAACTACAGAGAATTCTTTCCCAGGTGTCTGCCTGATGGGTCTCACCCACATTCTCAGGGTCTAAGGGTATGTCTACACAGCAAAGTTATTTCGAAATAACAGCCCTTATTTCAAAATAACTTTACTAGCATCTACACAGCCAAACCGCTATTTTGAAATTAATTCGAAATAGCAGAGCGCTTATTTTGAATTTGGTAAGCCTCATTCCACGAGGAACAACACCAAATTCGAAATAGCTATTTCGAAGGTCCCTGTGCTTTTTCTGATAGAGGCTCTTTTTGCACAAGAAACCCGTTGAGTGTCCCCACACACCTTTTTGCACAAGAACTCTTGCACAAAAAGGAGTTATGCCTCGCAGAAGGAGGTTTATCTACACCGCAAAAAGCCCTCTGTTCTGTCGATTGACTGTAGATTGAGGTGTGGATGCTCTGCAGGTTTTTGTGGAAAAATGGCTGTTTTTGCGCAAAAACCCTGTAGTGTAGACATAGCCTGAGTACTCAGAATGTCCCTTCACAATTAGCAATTCCAAAAAGAATCCACATATTTGACACTGAATTCTTAAACCTTAAACACCTCAAAGCTACAAAACTGACAGAGAGGGTTAATACTTTGGACTTCTGCAGCACATTTTGCGTAAGATTGAGAAAGTAGATTTACTGATAGAGATGTCAACATGTAGATGACTACACGGATTAACTGATAAACCCAGGTTTATCAGTTAATCCAGTCAACTACATGCATTCTTCTTCCCTCGCACCGCTGCGTCTACAGAGGGGCAGACAGGTAGGAGCAGGTGCTGGCGGTGATTTTAAGCTAGCTCCTTCCATGGGAGCTGCCTGCTCCCCATCAGGCTGCTGCCTCTATTAGAGGGGAGGAACAGGGGAGGCTGCTGCAAAGCATGTTCTGTATGTGGGAGGTCCCAGCTCCCCAACCACAAAGG